GGGAAATTCGCTTATAAGAACTGGTGTTCAATTTGAGAATAATCACTGACTGAATCGGTATCACTATTTTTAGTGGGCTTATTTCCACAGTTGTTTCAAGAAGCAAAATGGTAGTGGGTGAATTCATTTCCAGACCACCGGTGGTCAGTTAACGTCATATGCGATCGCCGAATTCGTAGAACTCCCGTAAGTGCATAACTCGAGCATTGATGCGCAACCAGTCCTTTGTACGAGTATGGTTTATTATTAATTATAATAGCTATCAAGAAATCGATTACCTCTAATAAATAACCACATGCACAATGTGTAACATGGTAATCCTGAAGATGGTTATGCTTCACAATTGGCGAAATTTTCTGTTGTAACCGACTACAGACACATTATTATTTTGGAGCAAATTAAAAAATCCTGCACAGGTAATGGAAACTTTAAATTGACCGACATTTTCTCTGCGCTTGATAATAACGAATCACTCGTACTATGGATTTGACACAACCATTATGTTCAACGATGAATCTGAGGTATTTTCTTGTGCATTTATTTCCAGTTGGCTGCATACCTCATGTCTGTTAGTAAAATCCATCTTGAGAGACGGTTGAAATGGTCAAACAGGTAAAACCAAACTGTCATTGGTTGGTGTAGGTTCGATGAATTTGGAAATCGCAATTTTGTCACTTAACAAAACACGCCACACCGAAGTGTCTCCTTTTATGGACAAATAATTAGAATGTGTATGGAACATAAATTAGGACTCAAGTGAACACAGCGTCTGCAGACGAAACCAAGATAAATAGCAAAGGATAGTTCTCATGGTTATCGAAATGGGTAAGCAGAAAACAACGAGGTATTCTGTCTTGCTGGCTATTTGACTGTTCACAAATATGTAAACCGTTCCACAGTTATCTTACTAAGCTATGCTATTGCAAATGAGAACATGTATTTCTTGATTATGGTAAAGTATTGCAAGATGGAATGATGATCGTCGACTAAAGTGGTGGGCCTCAGAGACCGTGTTTTGTGGGATTCACCGATACAAAGAATCAAGCTTTATAATAGTGATCTGTGGTTATGTCAAATGCGGTTCATTTTAATTACCTTGAAGTTGTACATTACAAGGCTGCACTTCGAACACAAGCATATGGAGATTTCTTGACCAGATATCCTTTCGTGATCATAAACTGACCACATGTAGAATTACATCAATGGAATAAATTAAAAATTCAAACTGGCGCACGTTATGAACGGTGACTGCTTGCCACCAATTGGAATAAAATGAATGAATTGTTGATTGTTGCTTAACTTTTATCAGTTAGCTTTATCATTTGTATTGTTATTTATTTTGTAATGCATGATGAGACAACATTCACTGAAAATTAACTAAGGTTACGCGTTGGCGTAAGTCAAACAAACTACTTCCAGGATTTGGTCCATCACTCTCGACCACCACCCGGAACATTAGACTCACCTTGATTATTTTATTGTTGAACATTTTGTCTCATCCGTTAGGAAAAAGTGTACTTCGTTTAATTTTGGATTTCTATATTGACAGGAGCCGGTTTTGCAGTTATGCAATTACATACTGCTCTCACTGGGATATTTTTCGTTTACTGAACAGCAGACGGGGATATCCCCATTGCCACGAGGACCTGCTGTTCAGTAATGAAAACCGTTAACCTAAGCCCCGGGACTTGGAGTGGCGAACCGCTTAGGGCCCCAATAGTTTAGGTGCTTTATTGCACCGGTGACAGTTAGGTGGCGGTGGCAGGGCTCGACCTAAGGACCCAGGGTCCAGAGCAAGTCCGTGACATCGACTAAGCCACTGCGCCATCACCACCCAACACATTTTAAATTTACTAAGTTCTGCC